TGAAGAATTGGGGGCTGCTGCCTAAAGCTCAGTTTTCTTTTCTTTTGTTTTAAATTTTTTAATGTTTATGTATCTTTGAGAGGGAGAGAGACAGAGCTCCATCAGGGAAGGGGCAGAGAGAGAGGGAGACACAGAATCTGAAGCAAGCTCCAGGCGCTAGCTGGCAGCACAGAGCCTGATGCAGGGCACGAACCCACAAACCATGAGGTCATAACCCGAGCCGAAATCAGATGCTTAACTGACTGAGTCACCTAAGGCACCCCTAAAGCTCAGTTTTCTAAGGAGCAGACAGGGGCCAGTGCCTTAGAATACAGCCTGTGGATGTGGAATCCAAGTGATCCAGGTGTAAATAACACCTATGCCCTGTGGTTGTGGATTTCATGGGACATCACAGTTAAAGCACCTAGCAGGTGCTTGATATATATTTGTTTCCTCTCGGCTGCCCTTTCCCTCCTCCCAACCATGGGGCCACCACAGCTTCCTGAGGGGTTTGAAGCACCACATTGCTTCTCATTAATTTCTTGTTTTCAAGCACCGAATAATTCAGTCTTTACCTAGTACAGTGACTAAAATGCCCCTATCTGTTGTCCTAGTGCCGAAAATTTCACCACGGAAGCTCCACTGCTTTGCACCGAACCTCCCTGTAAATGGCAACATGTCATCTGAGAGGAGACTGTCCTATCCTTGGACCCCGGACAGGGGCAGTAGTGCTGAGGTATGGGGACAGTGGTTTTTTTAAAAGTGTAGATGGAGTCTGTAAGTGAGGGCAAAAGAGAAAGAGAAAGCAGGCAAGAGAGTTTGCTACCCTGAAATGTTGGCCAGTAGTCACGCCTTTGGCTGTGGGATTTCTCCGAGGGCGAGTGATGGAAAATGCAGAGATTACCCAACATCCGAGAGGAGCCACACAGGGATATCATGCCATACTCACACCACGGAAAATGGAAGAGCAGACTACAAGCTTTACTTTCTGAGACTAGGTCCTAGAAGCCAGATGGCCTGTGCCAGATACACCAGCAGTTCTGCTGGGTGCCTCCAGGGGAATCATGCTACCTCAAGCAAGACAGGGCCCAGTTGCTAGGAGTCTGGAGGCAGGGAGCTGGGGAGTGAGCCCCTTGGCATCAGAGTGGAACTTGGAGGTTGGTTGGGTATGTCTCTTTGCCTTGACAGGTTCTCTTGGAAAGGCAGCTTTAATGAATCCTGAAGCACAATTTGCAATCAGCCCATCAAATGTTCAGAAACACTCTTTTAGCTAGAATCTCACTTGCTGGGAGTCTGTGGCCTGTAGTGGGTGTAGATTCTGCATCAGTGTCTGCAGCCCTCTACACCATATCCGGTGCAGCCTGGATCCCCCCGGTGGGCAAGTCCTGCCCCTCGGTGAGCCCAGGTTCACCGAACCATTGGGAACTACCTGGGTCTCACTGTCCCGAGCTGCCGTCTGCCAGGGCCGCGGGAATCGGGCCCAAAGGCCTGGGGTCTTCTGCTAACAGGGCAGCTTCCGGCCCAAGCCCACCAGTTGCGAGTCCTGGCGGATGCTCCGGGACACCCTCCTCTTCCTCCTTTCTCTGCTCTCTCCATCTCTGCCCTGTGTCCCATCTCCCTTTGTCCCAGCCAGGTCCCTGGTGCTTGGAGCTTCTTCTTGAACTTTGAGTGCCCTTGGGCTGATGTATCGCTCCATTTGCTCACGCTCGAGGAATCACTGAAGAACTCGTGGGGTGGGGCCCCCCCCCCCGGGCCGTGGGGGGAGGGTGTTGCGTGGGTGAAATAGGTGAAGGGGATTAAGAGTACACTTGTCTTGATTAGCACTGAGTAATATGTAGAACCGTTGAATGGCTGTATGGTACACGTGAAATGAAGATAACACTGCATGTTAACTGCACAAGAATTGAAAAACAAAAACAAAACCCAAAACCTCGTGTTGGGGATTTTGTTTTCTTTTCCCTTTTCCATTTTCTAACTGGATTTTGCTAGCGTATTTATTGATACTGGCCATCTTCCTGACCTCTTTCATAGTCTCTTACTGGTTTTTCAGTCTATCCTCTGGAGTGTTCTGGATAAACAATCGTATCATGAACAAATAATGATAGCAGTTTCTCCTTCCTGAATGTTATGCTTCTTTCTATTTGTATTTTTAACGTACTCTTGCGTTGGCTAGAACTTCTAGAACGATGCAAACTAATTGTGGCAGCAGCAGGCATTCTTGTGCCACTCTGGCTTAAATATGAATACCTCTCGCTGGTGTTTTATTGCCAAGAATGTTGTTGACGTTAGGTTGAGGACAGATGTTTTTCATCACGTCAAGGAAATGTTCTTTTGTTTGTATTTCATGAAAGAGTTTTCACAGGATGGATGTTCAGCTCTGTCAAATGTGTTTGGGGTTTCTGTTAAGATCGTCAGGTAACTTTTCCCTTTCTGGTAAGTGACATGATTAATTACATGGACTGATTTCCTGATATGTGATCATTTTCACCCCGCTGCATTTCTAACATGGCTATCTGTGGAATAGGGGTGGAGATCTGTTGCTCAAGAGGAGTCTGGGCTGAATAGCAGCTCTATATGCTGCTCTGAGTCCCAGGGCTATGAGCAAGCTTTGCCCCCGCCCCCGCCCCCTAATCCAGGGCATAATCTCACGCAGGCCCCTGAGATGTCTAGGGGCTTGAGCCACAGCTCTGGAGATCTGGGGTGTCGGCTGATCGCAGAGTGATCTTTGAAAGGCCAGGCAGATCAAATGACTCCCTTCAGTGGCTCCCCATTGCCTTCAGCAGAAAATCCAAGCTTCTAGGCACATTGCCCGGGCCTCTTACAACTGGCCTTTGTCCAGCGCCACCCCCCTGCCCGCCATCTTTTCCACCTTCTGCCCTCTAACCGCGTGGAAATCTCAGCAGGTGGCAAACCTGTCACCTTCTGTGCCTCTGGGCCCTCTCACACACTGTGCCCTTTGTGTGGAATGTCCTTCCCCAGGGAGGGCTCATCAGTCCCTGGTCCAGGGAGCCTTCCTGACCCAGCCTGCTGGGTGCCACAGCCGATGAGTTCACTACGTCTTTTGTACTTCCCAGGCAGAAGGTAGTTCTGTGTGTACCTTTATCTCCAGGAGCCCCAGCAAGGGTCCCTCTCCCAGCCCGGCGCCTGCCCTACAACAAGTGTTTCTCTGCCAGCCCCACGTCAGACACACTCTGAACACATCCATGAACACAGTCAAGTGTTCATACTCATGAGTGCACCCTGCTTGAGCCCCCACCCCACCTGTGACCCCCAGGGCTCACTGTCCTCACTCCAACAGCTAAGTGTGTACAGAGGTTCATGGGCGGCTACAGCTCCCTGGAGCCTCTTTAAAAAATGCAGTCGGCCTTGTTTCCTCTTCATAAACAACGACTTAGCACAGCATCGGGCCCCATGGGACAGTGTTCCCCCCAAAGCTGCTGCCATTGGAGACGCGGGAGGGGAGGCCAAGTGGGCCCAAGAGGGACCAGATGACTGGGGATCCATGGGAGGGAGCAAGCAGGAGGGGCTTTGATGGGCTGTGTCCCCCTGGGTTTCCTGCGCAGCCCAGATGCCAGCACCTGAGCTGGGCCTCGGCAACAGCTCTGCCTGGTCTTTTCCATTGGGTCTCAGGCTCTCCCCTGGCCCCCCCGGGGTGTCCTCAGCCCCTCTGGAAGAGGATTCATTTTCAACTCCCTGCCTTCCTCCAGTCACCAGGTGACCTCTGGGAATAAGCTGATGTCAAATGGAAGGCTACTAAGCCTGGGGTCGGGTAGGGGTAGCTCACATCTACCCCTCTCTTTTGTCCCCCTGTCTACGCCCTTCCCCCAACCCCAGCAATCCTAAATTACACAACACATCCCTGGATAAGGATCTAATGAGAGATCAAGTGACATGGCCTAAAGGGCATTGGGGTCAGGTTGTGGAGTCAGGCAGACCTGGCTTCAAATTCCAGCTTCACCTCTTGCTAGCTGTGTGATCTTGGGCACATTGCTTAACCTCTCTGAGCCTCAATTTCTTTATCTGTGGAACAATGCCCACCTACAGAGCCGTTGTGAGGATTAAGTGAAATGACTGACTGACTGTAAAGCACTCAGCACCATGTCTGACATATAATAGGAAGTCAACTAAGGGCAGCTGACGTTATAAATTACAGGTCGGAGCAGGCTGGGCACAGCTTCACCTGACACAGCCTTGTCTCCCATTGGTGGGTGGAGAAACCGAGACCCAGAGAGAGCAGGACATCAAGCTGCCGAAACACTCAGCCGGGGCTTGTGTCTGTTGAGGAGACTTTCACCATAATTTCGATCCCAAAGGCCTCGCCACCTGCAGTCTTGGATCTTGGGCTCTGCCCTACAAAGATCCTGGCAGTCCTGTTTATTCAATAAACCTTTGCATTGTGCTTGCTAAGTACCCAGCAGAGTTAGAGGCCCTTTATGTATATTAACTTTCTCCTATTCTTATCCCCATTTTACAGATGAGGGAACTGACCAGTTCGCACTTGCCCAAGGTTGCCCCGCCCTCCGGTGACACAGCCACCTTCTGTCAGCCGGGACACTCCACCGACCAGGCTCCCACCCTCAGGCGAGCACAGACCAGGCTCCGGAGTGGGATCAGGAAGGGCACCGGGGACATCTGAACCTGTCTTGTCCCACATCCAAAGCTGGGGTGGAGGAGGCATCCTTGGGGGCTTGAGCCTGTGACTGAGCATGATGGGGACATCAGCTTTGCCCTCCAAATGCCCATCACCGGATGCCACATCTCGGGCCACAGCAGGTATTTCCCTGGAGAGAGGACAGTGAAAACTTGGAAGAGGAGAGCTCTTTATTATTCAGAATAACCACACTATTTAATTTACTATTAATAATAGCTCTTGAGTCAACCTTCTCCTGAAGAGAAATGAGAACTGAAAGAATGGCCCTGTCTTGGCGGCCCCCGCCCTTCTCCCTCCCCGCCTGCCTCCCTTCCTTAGAATACTGGGAACTCAGTCACGAACGATTGTGTTGTGCCGTTTGGGGGTTTGCAGTGGGAGGACTGAGGCCCAGCGGTGAACCTCTTACCTTCCTCCCTGAACAGCCCTGCTCTGCTGGTCCTCTGTGGGGACCATGGAGGGGTCGTGGGGCCGTGGAGGCCACCACCCCTCTGCTGTCAGAATTCTGGAGGGAGAGTATGGCTTCTGTCCTCTTAGACTGAGCCAAGGGAAGAGGCCAGGGGGCCGTGTTCCAGCTGAAGCAAAGGCAAATGTGGACCCAGCAATCCTTGTCTTAGCGCTGCTGGGGGCCATATGGGCCATAGGTTGGGATGAGGGATCAGGGCCCCATCCCCTGCCCTCTGCATCCAGTAGGGGCGCAGTGTCAGAAGGAGCACACCCGCAGAGGAGCAGAGCCAGGGAGGAGACCAGAACCCGTGCCAGAGGAGTATGTGACTTGGAGTTCAGAAGACCCAGGGGGACCTGAGAACTGCCTTCGAGGAAGCAGAGGGATTTGTTTTCTCGACTGTAAGTCTCCACTGAGGGCTACTCTGCCAGGTGCTGGGAGTGTATGGCCCCAGTCCCTGTGGGGGTCCCAGAGTGGCAGAGGCGGTGGGCAGGAACATGTTATGTTTATAACTAATGCTGCTGCAGGGAATGCTTTAGGGACGGGGCCACGTCGTCCTGATGGGAGTTGTAGGAGACAATCAATTGGCCTGATTCGGAGCTAGGGGGTTTGCTGGCTCCCTGAGGCAAGGATGCAAAGACTCCTCTGGAGTTGAGTTTGGCCCTTCGGTGTTTATTCAAGATGGCACCCGGGCTCCTGGGCGCCCATTGTCCTTGACTCTGCTTCCTGAATTAGGGCCCCCGTGTGGCCTGGGCGGGGGACGAGTGGCCCACTGGGCTGACCTCCCAGAAGGCAGGGGTTGCGTTTTCCCTTTCTTCTAACTGCCCGACTACCCAGAGCTAGAAGACCATGGTTGCCCGTGGGTTGTGGGTTGAAGGTCCCGGGCAGTAGAGCAGCATTCTGTCCCCCATCCTTGAGAGAGAGATAGCCGTCAGCTTCCTCTCCTCTCCCGTCCCCCTCTTCACGTGGGCTGAGTCCTAGACATCTTTAGGTGATTGAAGACTGCTTTGTAACACTGCCACGGGGTGGATTCAGACTTGTTGATGTGATACTTGAGCTTTCTTAGTCTGCCAGAGCTGAGTTCCATGTACCTGCACACACACACACACACACACACACACACTCCTTAACACGCATACATGCCGGCTCTCATTGTGAGGGCCCCACTCTTTATTCAAGCAGCGGTCTCGGGTGTCTGAATGGATGCTTGAAGACTCCCTCTTTGCAATTAACACGCTGCTGCAGTATTATTAGCCTCTGATAGGCAGGTCTGCCTTTGCCAGAGACTATAAATATGTGGGGCCAATGACTCAGCAAATCTGTTGCTACTTTTCTTGCAGATCCGTGTGGATCTGTCTGTGTACACCATGGCCCCCTCTCCCAGCAGCTCCCATGGCTTGTATCCATGGAAACGCAATCCTCCCAACTACAGTACTCTGGCTGACAAACACCGGGAGTCTCCCCAGCCCCCTACCCACTTTGCAGAGGGAACGTGGACCTGGAGAGCTCCCGGTGAGCAAGAGGGTGGCCCCGATGGAGGAGGTGGCACTTTCTCAGTTGCTTTGAAGGTCTAGGCAAGGCTGGCCTCTAACCGCCCCACCCCTGCAACTGGTCTGTGGTCGCGGCTCTGTCACCTGTTCAAGGCAAGTGGCCTGGTGAGGGAGCCCTTCCTGAGGCCTGGGCCCTCATGGGAGGGAGATTGGCAGGGCAGTTCCTGGGAGCCGTGGGTGGTGTGGCAGGCCTGCTGCCCTTGGCAGTGGCGGGCGGGGGGTGGGGCACCAGCCACTGGGAGAGGGAGACTGGGAAGAAGGGGAAGGGGCAGTGACTAAGAGAGGGGGAAGCAGATCATATTTGGTATAAAACCTTGGGGCATGGGGTTCTGTCTCTTGACCTTGACTTGGTCAAGCAAAACCTGTGGGATGGATGAAAGAGCATGAGCTCTGGAAGTCCTTCCTCCTTCCTTTCCTTCCACAAATATTTACATTTGCTTACTCCGTGCCAAGCCCTGTGCTGGGCATGGGGGTGCAGAGATGAACTGAAACTAGAGCCTTGTCCTTGAGGACTACGGTCGGGGAGGAGCAGACAGACTCAACACCGGATCAGGGAGCTCAGGTGTTCTGCAGGTCAAGAGAGAGCAGCGGGCCACAGCAGAGTGGGCAGAGCCAGCTGCGGGGCCAGGAGAGGCTTCCTCGGGGAGCCGCAGTTCACGGAACACGCCAGGAGGATGAGGCAGGGTGCTTAGGAGGCAGAGTGGGCATCCCACGTAGATGGTAGCCCCGGAGAGCCGGTTGGTGAGACACACATAGAGCTCTAACTCTGGCTCCTGTTCGTGGTATTCCCTTGAAGAGGTGACCTAAGCTTTCTGTCCTGTGAAATGGGAAACCACAGTACCTGCCTCACAGGGCCCAGTGAGAATTAATGCACTATCTGGCCCCAACCATAGCACATGTTTATCACACTAACTCTGTGCCAGAACCGCCTGTGTGGCAGTTACTTTCTTCCTTTTGGGGCCTGTTTACTATGTCAGATGAGGAGGCTGGGCCAGATGACATCTAGAGGTCCAGAAGCCCTTGATTGTCCCTGTCCTCAGTCTCCCCATTTTCCAAATAGGGAGAAGAGAGTTCCAATAAGTTTCAGAAGTGAAGGAATGGATCGTGGAATTATTCAAAGAACATCAGCACATACTTATTAAGCTCAGCTTGCTTTTCCTGCTTAGGGAAAACAGAGCCAGGCTGATGTCATAACTGCCACGGCCATGGATACAGAGGAGCAGGAGACCTGGCCCTACCCCGAGAACATCGCTATGGCTGGAGAAGTGGGGAGGCCTAGAGACCCTGGAATCTGAGGACCCTGGTCCTCTAAGGACCATTGGGCCCACCTCTGGCCTCCAGATCTTTGTTCTCAAAGCCCCAGGGAGGCTGGGGAGCATAAACAGTTGAAAACCCTCTTTGTTGGCTCCTGCAAAGTCACACTGACCCTAGGAGGTAACTACTGTTATTAGAGAGTTTAGGGACTGGTCACAGGTCAGCCAGATACAGGTGGCAGAGCTGGGGTATCAATCCGGGTCAGCATCATCCTAACACTCACGTTCTCTCCGTGGCTCTGCACCCCACCCTCTGGGACTCTGGTAAACCTCCTCAAATCCTTCAGGAAATAGAGAAGCTAAAAATAGCACGTGGGATTGTGAAGTGAAGAAAGCAAGTTGCCAAACAATACATACAGGATGATTGCAGTCTTGTAAAAAAACAACCTGGTACTGATATGTGTGTATGCATAGAAATGTATATGAGCCTAAATGATCCGGAAGTAGATCCTAAATGTATATGAGCCTAAATGATCCGGAAGTAGATCCGGAAGGGGATCTGTCCTGTTGTTTGAACAGGGCTCATCTCTGGATAGAGGAGTGGTGTGAAGGGGGGGTGGAGGGGGCATGTTCCCTTACGATACGATGTGCTTCTGAATTGGTCGACTTTATCACGATGAGAATGTATTCACGTCTTACTTGTGCCATAAAAACGTCGTATCCACGAGGGCGACCCATCTCCCCATGTCCTGGGCAGTACATGTGAGGGCTGGGGCAGGCGGGACCTGGGGTGGGGGAAGGCCCTGGTTTGCGAGGGTGAGTCTACCATGGGCCCAGGTGGGCTGGTTCACGGGAACTTTTTAGACGGACGTGGCAGAGGTCTTCTGGGAGAATCAGTGTGCCTAATCTGTTTTTCAACAACCAAGAGAGCAGCTCATCTGCCCATTTTCTAGGTAGGGACCCTTAAGTCCATTGACGGCTTAGCTCAAGGTCAGAGAGCCCTACTGCTGTGGTCTGCTTGGTTAGTACGCCTGCCTAATTAGTAAGGGTCAGAGAATCACGGGCTTTATCTTCAGATGGGCCTGGCTTTGACTTTACGCGATGTCATAGATTCTCTGAGCCTCAGCTTTCCTACCTGTAAAATGAGATGGATCCACCTACCCCGAAGCATTCTTGTGAGGGTTGAATGAGGTCAAGTTTGACGGCAGCCCCGTTCACGGTCGCTCCCCAGTGATCTTCTCCTTTCTCTGTCTAAGGGATGCTGTTCTGGACTCAGCGTGGGGCAAGTAAGACATAGGCCATGGTTTCAGTCCTGGCTGAAACAATTACCATTCACTGAGCACGTGCTAGGTAGGTGCCAGGGATCGTGCCAAGGGTTATGCATACAACTCCCTTAACCCTAATTGTTAATCCTAATTCTCCTCCCTACCTCTGAGATAGGTGCTACCTGTTGTTGTCCCCACTTGACAGATGTGGGGGTTGAGATGTCAAGATTATGCCGAGCTTGTAAAAGGACGCAGAGAGAAATCCACCTTTTCCTATTACCGAGAAGGCTGCGTGATAAGGTATATCTATTTTTCTTAAATGTTAGGTAGAGTTCACCAGCAAAATCATCTGGGCCTGGAGGTTTGTGAGAAGAGTTTTGATTACAAATTCAAGTTTTGGGGGGAGTTTTGGGAGCATCCCTACTTTCTATTTCTTCTTGTGTCAGTTTTGATACCTTTGCAGATGTAAATGTAAGAAGATAGTAACAATTCCTGCCAGACAGGGTTATTTGGCAATGACAGGGCTTACTTACTTGTGTGTTGTAACAGAGTATACCCACTCTAGGCTTGGGACACAGGTCTCGGGGCACTGCATTTGGCATCCTGCTGTCCCCTGTCCTCCATCAAAGCAGGAGGGCCAGGTTGGGCACCTCCCCATTGGGTGTGGGGCTTGAGCTTTTCTCAAATGCCAGAGAGAGTTGCGCCAGGGCAGAAAGGCCCCAAAAGGTTGGCACCTGAGACCAGAGGGGCTGCCCGAGGCCGAGACAGCCTGGAGGGCCAGTGGAGCACTGGGGACCTCTACATCAATGGGCCCCACCGTTCTGGTTTTGAAATGCTGAGTGCCCAACTGGCACTTGGGTAATGTTTATTGAGGGAGGGAAAGGGAACAAGGGAATGAGGGCAGGGGAAGTGCAGAGGAAAGATTTATTGGTGCAGAAGAAGAAGTGGGGGTAAGTCCCTACTGATGAGGGGACCCATCAGTGGGCCCTTAAAGGGCTTCCCTCTCCAGTAAGCCTTCAAGACTAGATGGGTGCAACCAGAGGGGATGTCTCCTGCCCCTGCCCCCTCTAGGATCCCCAGCTTCCAAATCTGAGTCCTGGAGTGGGTGATTATAATCATCAGCTCTGCGAGGTACCCCCATGACCGGCCCTCCAGCTCCAGAGTCTAGGCAATGGGGGGGGGGGGTCTGCCTCATACTCACCTTGACTCTCCTTCCTCACCAGATAGCAGGGCTGAATGGGGGTGTGGGCAGAATGGCCACAAAGAATCTGCTTTGCTGTGTTGGCTCCAGGCTTGAATCCCCTCCCTGCTCTGTGAAGCTAGGCCCAAGCTGGAAGAACCCACCCGAGTCCAGGCTTTGGGGATTGCTCCCGGGGATCCCTATGCAAGGATGCCCTAAGTCCTGTGACAGCTTGACACCACAGAGCTGCTCCACGTGGCATTGGGATCTTTCAGAGAGCTCCACATCTTTGGAACAAATGAATGAGCAAATTAACGATGGCTCGCTGAACGATGAACACCTACATTGTACCAGCACATTGAGATAAAAAGACACCTAGTCCAATGAGGGAGGCTAACACACCCATGCCACATTCTACCTTTGGGTGGTAAATGCAGTGCTAAGAGGGGCCCAGGGTATTGTGGGGGCACAAAGGAGAAATGTCTAATCCACATTGCAGGGAGGATGGCGGCAGGGAAGGGGGCAGCAGTGATTTCTTGGAAGAGATGGCGAAGAATAAACGGGAGGCTGCAGGGAGGCTGGCGGAGCTGGGAGAGAGAGCAGGGAATAAGAGGTGTGCGGGCACCATACAGGGGGGTGAGTCCTGACCTTAGTCTGTTAGTGAAGTTACCGATGGTCAACACTCAGCCTTATTTCCAGGGCACTTCCTGCTCCCAGAGGGTCTTGGACTCACAGTGCATTGGAAGTTCAGTGACCCGACCTCCCTTGCAAGTACCAAGGTCAGGGGAAAGAGATCCTTTTTTTTTTTTTAATTTCTTAGAGAGAGAGAGAGAGAATGTACATGTGAGCAGGGGAGGGGGCAGAGGGAAAGAGGGAGAGAATCTTAAGCAGGCTCCACATTCAGTGCGGAGCCCGATGCGGGACTCAATCTCGCGACTGTGAGATCATGACCTGAGCTGAAATCAAGAGTCAGACGCTTAACTGACTGAGTCACCCAGTCACCCCGAGAGATCCTTTTCTGCATAGGCTCAGCATTTCTAACTGGGGGAGGGTGGTATAACAATTAAGGATGCATATGGCTATAAGAGATAACCTAAAAAACACTGTCCTAAGACACAAAGGGGGCGGGAAGGTATTTGTTCCATACAGCAAGCAGTTCAGGAGTGGGCAGTCCATGGCTTGTGTGGAAGCTCTGGGCCCCAGGCTCCCCTCTGCCAACTTTAGTGTGAAAGTCTTTGTCTTCATGTTCGTTGCCTCATAATAGCAGGATGGCTGCAGCAGCTCCAGACCTCTGTCTACATTCCAGGCAGAAAGGAGATGGAAAGGCTAAAAGGAATGCCAGTTCTGCACCTTTAAAAAAGAGCACCCGGAAGCCCCACCCAGCGCTTTACTTGCATCTCCTTAACCAGAAGTGGGTCACATGGCCATCTCTACACCAGTCACTGAAGGTGGCTGGGGAGAGAGGGGTTATGAAAGGGCTTGGGTCAACCAGCCAGCAGTGTCAGCTCCCCTACCCAACCTCAGATGGAGGGCAGCTCCACTCTGGGTCCGGTGAGACACCTCCAGGGCTGGGCATCAGAAGGCCTGTGTGACCTTGGGCAAGTCAGTAAACTTCTCTGGGCCTTTAGTGACACCTTGTGGCAGCATCTGCTTGAAACCATGGTGCTTGGATGAAAAAAAGAAAAAGAAAACAAACCTGTATTTCCGCCCCGGTGTCCCTTGTGCCACCCCCGGGGCCTGTCTCACCTCAGAGCAGAAGGGCAGGCTTCCAGCACCTTTGATGCAGCCCTTCTCCGTTCCCTGTCCTTCCAGTCACGTGATTTAACCACACCAAAGTGAGCCGGCTTCCCCAGGGAAGTGGTCACAGCTCAGTCCTCAGACAGCTCAGTCCTCTAGTCCCGGGGCTCTGACCTGTGTGGTACTCACATCAGTTCTGGGAGCAGGATGTGAGAAAACCTCCCCATTTTCCAGAAAGAGAGAGTCCATAGCTGAGTGAGGTTACTGCCTGGGTTACCAGCCTCTCAGCCTCCCATGCTCTGCCCCTTCTCTGATGGGTGTAGGGTCTCGCCTAGAAGTAGTCAGTTTCCTTGGTGTGCATGTGTGCATGTGCACACGTGTGTGCACGTGCATGCACGTGTGCGTGTGTGCACACGTTCAACCCAAACGCCAGCTGTGAGGCAGGGCCCTGGTGTGTTTGGCTTTTGAGATCTGTGCCCATCCCGGGTGGTTGTCAGTGCTCAACGTTCTCGGCTTCCCTTCCTGCCCCACGAGACCAATGCCCTCCGCTCTGATCCCCACCATCCAAACCTGCCCCTCCCCAGAGGTGTGCTGGTTAGGAGGGATCCAATAAAACCGCTGCTGGAGGCAGCTGTTCCTGACTAATAAGGGTGCCCAGAGGGGACTGACAGGTTGAGAAGGGCCTTCCAGGCCCACAGCCAAGCGCTAATGGTGGAATTTAAAACCAGGTCTCCGTGGCCCAAAACATTTTCTCTTCCGGCCTGCCAGCCTGACCCACTGGCACAAGGAGGCAGTTTTGGGCAGGAGGGAAAAGCTGTCCTGAGCTGGCCACACTCCCACCCAAGTCACCTGAGGATTGTAGGAAGGGGGCCTGGGGCTGGGCAGCTGGTAGATCGGGCTTCGGGGACTTGGGTTTGGGGCTCTGCAATGTCTGGCCCAGCTCATATCATCAGGAAGATTAAGGGTAATTGAGTAACTGCTCTGGGCCAAGATGCTTACACTTGGAAGTTGGAGGTTGGCCTGACACCGTCCTATTAAATGTGCTCATTTCCAGGCTTTGAGAGCCCCTCAGAAGGCAGGGAACCTGTCTTTGGCTGGAAGAAACCGGTGGCAACCTTGAGCAGATCTGTTCTGACACACACATTATGTCCTTTAATGCTCTCTAGCCCACGAGGTAGGCATCGTCATTATCCCATTTCAGAGATGACGAAACTGAGGCTCAAAGAGGTGTGGCTGATTCCTACCGTACCATGTCTCGTGTCAGGGTAGCTTGCTGCCTGGGGCCAGGTGGCACAGACAATGGCATAGCCAAAGGTGTGGCACCAGCCTCTACATTATCCCCGGCCCGATCCCCTCAGGCCGAGCTCTAAGAACCATCTCCCCTGTTTGGAGGTCAGGGACCAGAACAGGCTCCTGACATTGCTGTACCCTGCCCCCCTCCACCCCATGACACTGTTCCCATGGCCTATTCTTGGTACTTGCTGCTCCTCAACTTTCAGTGGCTCCCCATCACCTCCAGGACCTGCTGTCACCCTCCCCTTTGCCCACCCTCCTCAGGACCAGGGACAACACGGCTCCACTTTTGGCCATCGGGATGCCCTGGACAGCTGGACGTCCCCCCGCTCAGCTTCCTGAGCACTAATGGGGGACCTTCAAACCGGCCTCCTGAATGCCTGTCGTGGGGGTGGGGGCACAGCCCGGGCTGGGCGCCTACCCCCTCCCTGGGCTTTGGAGAGCACTCATTATTAGCTTTCTATGTGAGCTAGGCCTTGGGGGGAAGCCAGCCTTTAGCCTTGGGTGGGAGGAAGCCTTAATTACCTTCTCCAGAAGAGGGAGAGGATAATGAGGCGCAGATGAAAATCCTGGCAAGGCCACTCCTGCCCAGGGCCCCCTCCCCACCCAGCCCCCAGCCTGCCCCCACCCCTACCTCAGCCTCTCTGGGCTCAGATGAAGACCTTGTTCCCTGGTCTACAGTGGGGCTTGGGCAGCCATGGCTCTCACGGGATGCCAGACCACAGGGACTGCCCTGTGCCTGGACCCCCCCTCCCCATTAGCACTTCTTGTTGGTCTCACCCCTAGTACTCCTACCCAATATGGAAGGAGTGGTCAGGATCTCCTAGACCACACTGGGATCCTGGGACCCCTTGGATGAGGAAGTGACAAAGTCAGATATGGGAGCTTCTGGTTTGTATGATGGAACCCTGATGGAAGGGAATCAAGTCATAGCTTTCACAGAGAAGAGTCAGTTGGGGGGTCACGGGCTGGCCTCCCACGGCTCCTGGCAGGGGCCTGCCACCTTCTTCTGTTCATTGGCCCTAGCCAGCCCTCATCATGTGCTCTTGGCTTTCAGCAGGCAGGGAGGAGGGGAAAGGGAGGAGGTAGGGAGGAGGCGTCAGGAGTGTCTGAACAAGAACACAGAGGAGAGAGAGAAGCTGGGCAGACAGATAAAGAACATCCTTACCGGGCAGACCCAGTACCCAGGATTCTTTCTTGTGGATGGCACTCAACACTGTACCGTGAGCTGGGAACACTCCTCTGCCCTTCCCCTGGAAACGTCCTCAAACTCAGTCCTGTGTAGAGACCCTAACTATGGGCTCCGAGCCCCAGTGCTGCATACAAGGCTCAGAAAGCATCTCTTAGCCTGATGCCAGCCGGTCCTCCCTGGCAGCTGGCACCTCCAGGGCAGGATCAGTGGAGAGGGGCCTGAGGGATCGCCTGGAATAGTGCCCACCCCTATTCTGGTGCCTGACGTCCCCATGCCCACTTAGTGCTACTGCTTTTCAGAGAGGCAGCCTGGGCGGGGGGGGGGGGGGGGTGCTGGGGGCGTGCCACTTGGGTCCCTTTTGCCGCTGACTAGTTTTGTGATCCTGGGCAAGTCACTTTACTCCTCTAAGCCTCAGTCGTCTCATCTGTGAAATGGGGATTGTAACGGTACAGGGTTGTCATGAGGTTTAAAATAAAACCGTGTAGGTAACCGGCTTAGCATAATGCCTTGCGTGGGGCAAATGCTACCTCGTGTCTGCTATTAGTATGGTTGTGGTGGTGAATCTCCTTGGGCAGTGTTTCTCAACTTCAAAGAATTCCAGCCTCCCTTGTGGTAAACATAGAGACCTCAAACTCCTCCCTTTAATGGTACAGGATTAAAATGGCAAAGAAATAAAAGTTCGAGGCCAAAAACAAATCAAAGTGCTTATATGGAATATGTTTTTTCAAGTGAAAGAACACCGCCCCCCCCCACACACACACACAAATGAGGTTCACTATGGGGGGTGGGAGGTAAGAATAGTTTGGGCTGGATTTGTGGGGCCCTCGGGCCAACCAGAGAGAGACCTGGCAAAGGCCTGGGAAGGGAGGACAGCAGAGGCCCCGGAGCCCAGGGCGGCTCCCTTCTGGAAGGTGCCTCTCTCCCCTTCCTCTCAGTGGCCTCTGGATCCCAGCCTGGCCTCCCAGCTCTGACAGCACTGACTTTGAGGCTACAGAGGGAGCTCTTTGGAATACAAATACCTCTGGACCCTCCTGATCCCAGCTGGTGCCCCATTCTCATGCTAATACAGAGAGTTTGCCAGTAGCTCCTAGAAGAATTCGCTGCTGTAGGAAATCCACCCCAAGCCTTCCTCCTGGCCACCGGGACAGTGTCTCTGGGGTCCTTTCCAGCCTGGCCTCCTGGTACCCAGCACTGGGTTCCGGCCCCACACCCAGCAGTCCTGGTAAGTTCCCTGGTGGGCTGGGTAGAGTCCACAGCTCCTGTCGTCCATTGAGCTGGCCGGTAGCCCCTTCCCAATCTCCCCATGCAAGTAACAATCCGCTTGACCATGACACTCGCCTCACCTCACCCTGCTTGTGCCAAAGGTGCTTCACGCACCTCAGTTCGCTCCTGTAACGCTCACCGAGCAGCCCGTGGGAACGAGGCTCACAGAGGAAGGCTCTTTGCCCCCCACTCTGCAGCTGTAGCTTCAGGATCCAAATCCAGGGTGTGCACCCCAGGACTCCAGCTCCTAGACCTTTTGGCTCCACACTAGGTTCACGGGCTGGTGGCATTAGAGACCCGGTGAGATGCAAGGTGGCACCAGGGAGGCCTGGTAACTAGGTGAGGGAGGTGGGATCTGACATAGGCCAAGATGGAGGCCCTGGGAGGTCGAGGCATAGGCAGGACCCAGGTGTCTGAAAGGGGCCCAGGGAGGGTGGCTCAGGTCCTAAAGGCCCAACCCAGGTCATGCTGGTGGGGGAGGGGCAGGCGGAGCTGGGCAGGAGCTCTTAAAGGAGCTGACATGGATTTTAGTAAGGTGCTCTGCTAACGGCCTACATGGTGTGCCGTGGGCAGGCCCCAGACCTGGACAACCTTCGCCTACTTCTCTCAGCTTGGTGAACTCTTACTCATCCTTCAATGCCCAATTCAGATAGCACCTCCCCTGCGAAGCCCCCCTGACTCCTCCAAGCTCACTCCCTCCTCTATGCTCCCACTTCCCAAGCCTCTAAGGCATTGCCTAAGGGTAGGTCTACCTCCTTCCCTAGCCTGGGAAGTCTTTGCTGGAAGGGCCCATGCCTGACTCACCTGCATGTCTCCAGCTCCCAACACAGGGCCTGGGCCTGAGAAATATTTATAGAATATAAATGTTGGCGTGAATGTGCAGGATGGTTCCAACGGAGAAAGCCTGTGATCTCCACTCTTGTAGGATCTCTAACAAAATGAAGCCACTTAAACCTAAGCAGGCAGGCAACACCTAGAGTGATGGATGTCTCCCTGCTTGGCACAACCTTCTCTCTGCTCATTGCTCGTTTCAGCCAGAGCCGTGGTAGATGCTTCTGGGCAAGTTTGGGTTCGCCCTGTCTTGGAAGTGTCCCTCCTCAAGCACACCCCTTGTCCCATGCCAGGAGAGCCCACTTGGCCCGTGAACAAACGCAAGCCAAAAGTGCAGGGGAACTAACACCCCGTGACAATCCTCAGCCGATGGGGAATGGGAGCCTGTGGGTAATGGCTCCAGTCCCCGCTTTTCAGGTGGACGGTTCTGGAGAGGATCCTTGGGCTCCTCAGGGGTCAAGGCGGGATGGAGCCGTACTCTCCACCAGAGAGACCTTGAGGGCATTCTGTATGCTGGCTGGTCCCCTCTCCCTGCTTGCTGTCCTACACCATCAAACTTTCTGCTCTCGAGTCCTGGTCTCAGGTTCTGTTTTGGAGAAAACGTTCATCAAGACAATGAGCTACGCAGAAGAAATTTCTTGACTGACGACTCCTTCTCTCACCGGCTCTGACCCTGATTCCTGGGGCTTCTTGTCTGACAAAACCCTATCTTAACTTCCAAGGGGTCTCTGGGGTGTGTGCGAGGCTCCGTGGAGGAGAGTTATTCAGGGAATTATTTCCTGAAATTAAACTCCACGGTCCCTGAGGGAAGGAGTGAATGGGGCCCAGTGATGCCGAGGTGGGGTGGGAAGTTGTTGGGGGTTTGATGGGAAAGCCATTGTGCTTTAATTGTATTGTGCACATTAAACCAACAACTACAAGAGCAAAGGCGCGTGGTGGGAGGAGGCAGAGTGGAGAAACGGCTGGAATGAGCTGGCAGGCAAGAGGGGGTGGGTCTGAGGATTCAAGGGGGATAAAGGATTGGGGTTTAGGGATCCCTTGGCCAGGCAAGGACACCCCACCCCACCTCTTACCAATTGGAGTGTAGAGAAGCTAGTAGGCTGAGGGTAAGGACTGGAAGTCTGCTGAATTGACCTTCTCCTAAGGCCAGGCTTTGTCCCAGGTGCTTTGTTGGATCCCACTCACTTATAAGCTGCTTTATATGCATCACCAGATGTAACTCACACAGCAAGCCTGTGAGGTGAGCACTTTTGCTGTTCTAATTTCCCATGAGAGAATGGCACAGAGAGGCAAGTAACTTGCCCAAGGTCACACAGAGCTTTAACAACCCCATCCACTCCAGGTGGGAGATGAGCCTGATCTCGATAGTGGGAGGGGAATTGGGGTCAGACCCATGGTGAGGGACAGAGAAGCTGTTTTGGAGAAGCCCTGGGTCCTCAATGCCTGTGGGTGGGGGCTAGAGAGCTCTGAGAGGATCCAAGGCATCAGGAAGGCTTCCTGGGAGGTATGGAGGGAACTTGATGACTACTTTCCCTCTCTGGACCCAAGATACCTCATCTGGAAAACAGGCTGTGGTATCCCTGCTCCACTCCCTCCTTCTAGAGGTCCCTGGGAGGGAGTTCCATGCTGCAGGGTGGGGGGGGGGGGGTGGCATCTGAGGGTGTGCTGGAGGGTGATTAAGGAAGATTCTCTCTGGGAAGGCTCAGGCTAGCAGGAAGCCAGCGAGGAAAAGGTGATTCTCTGTGGGAGCCCAGGAGGGTACCTCACTCTGCTAGACCTGCCCAGTGTTCCTGGGGAAGAGCTCTTGGGACCCTTCTCTTCCCTGTCAAGTGGGCTAGGTTCCCAGTAGGCAGGGCTGGTGAATTAGTCGGACAGACATGGCCCTCCCCTCCACGCCATCACAGAAGCTTCAGACTCTGGGCAGCTCTGCCCCAGCTTGGCCACCCTACCTGCTGGACACCTGCGTGGTGCACCTGCCGGGGCCTGTCTTCCAAAATCCGGAGCGTGACCACTGGAAGAACCCCTTCTGGATCCCAAGCCTCCAACCAGACTCCCAATGTTCCCTTGTCGGTCCAAATGTCCCAAATGCTTACCGAGGAGACCGTGATCTGAGGATAGCTCCCAGGAGCCCAGCAGCAAGGACCTGCTGAACACATGGTGGCACTGGCCATTGTTTTGAATGTGGACTTCCATCCCTAGTGTGTGACCAGGTCTGGGGGGGGGCGGGGTCTGTGACCAGGCTCATGGTTCCTTGTGTGACCGTGTTCAGAGTTCAGCCTGGAGCTGCTGTCAGAAGGGAAAGTCTCTAGGAACTGACTTGCCTTGAAGCGGGGTTCCAGGGGCACAGGGACAGCCTGCTAGGAGCAGTGGAAGGTAATCCTTAGGAGAAGGAGCTGTGGGGTCCAGATCCCGGGTGCAACCCCGTTCCAGGCTGGGTGCAGATCCTTGCTCACCACCGGCCAACTCTCACCTTGGGCAACGTCCTTAGCCTCTAAACCCTCCGTGGCTCTGGAAGTGGGGATGTGCCTCATAGCTTGGGAAGGCTGAATGAGGTGACAAGCGGCTAGCTCTGAGGCTGACACATGGTGAGTGTCAGGAAACATTAGCCTCTGTGCATATGCGTGCCATCGTCATGGTCCTGCAGGCTCTGGGGCTCACCGCGTCACAGCTGGTCCCAACACTGCCCTCCTGACTCAGCGGGGCGGGGGTGGGGCGGCGGGGGCCGCGGAATTTAATTGGAGGCAGGAGGGCTTGGGGTAGAAAAGGTTTGGGGACAGGAGTCTCATCCCTTTGACAGCTTTTCTCAGAGGTCTCTGGCACTCTGCTTGGCTCCTGCTGCCTGTGCTCTCGGGGGGACAGATCAGCCCTGCAGTCCCCACCCTCGGTCCCCAGATTGGAGGTGAGGACTCAAGTCTTCTAGATGGTAGCTTGCTGGGCTCCCCCCTGTCTTCTGGGTCCCACGTGCCTCTCTTGCTCCTGCTGCCCGTGGACATACCTCTCAGTCCCTCCATCACTACGCTCCAGGATTCTCTCATTCCCTTTGGCCTTTCTCCTCCTCTCTTCTGCATTTGGATGTCTTCTAAGAGGACAATGTTCCAGGCACCAGCCAGCCTTCCCTGCCCTGCCCAACAAAAGTGATCATCTGCTCTCCATTTTCCAAGAGGGGAAAAGGAGAGAAATGGGCTGAACTGCAATGGGGCAGCGAGGATGAGACAGATGGGCTGGCAAAGGAGAACCGTGAGAAGTAGGACCGGGCTGGGGCTGGGGCTGGGGCGCTCCTTTGGGACCCCGGCCGCTGATCTCTGTTTGGGGAGGAGCCATCCTGTCAGAAGCAAAGGATGAACTCAATAATCTTGGATCCCCCCCCGCCCCGCTTCCTGTCCCACGACCCCAGTCTTATCAGGCAGGCATTATGGATTCTAATCCGGACCACCAGGGAGCAACCCGAGCTAGCCATATATCTTCCAGGCTGAGCGGCCTTCGGAAAGTTACTTAACCTTCCCACACTCTAGTTTCCTTATCTATAAAGTAGGCTGTTACGAGGAACAAATGAGCACGGCACCTAGAACGTGGCAAGTTCTGTACAATTGTCAGCTATTACTGGCTACGCTAGTGGCCCCGAAACATTTTTGACAGCCCACTTCTGTCAGTAAAAAATTTAAGGACCCCTCTCGTAGAGAGCGATATTAATTCATTTGTAAATTCCATGTGTCTGTTTCTGTGCTAATATGCTCTGTATGTTAGAAAACATCTACAAAACGGCGATTTCGAAAGGATGAGTTTAAAAATCAAATGTAGGGGCGCCTGGGTGGCGCAGTCGGTTAAGCGTCCGACTTCAGCCAGGTCACGATCTCGCGGTCCGTGAGTTCGAGCCCCGCATCAGGCTCTGGGCTGATGGCTCAGAGCCTGGAGCCTGTTTCCGATTCTGTGTCTCCCTCTCTCTCTGCCCCTCCCCCGTTCATGCTCTGTCTCTCTCTGTCGCAAAAATAAATAAAAAAACGTTGAAAAAAAATTTTTAAAAATCGAATGTAAATAGAAGCTCTAATACTGCCTTCCCACATGCCGGTGGGTTCTTTTGTGTCCCCCCACCCCCCCACTGGGGGCAGGCACTGTACTTTGGAGA